AAACAGAAAGAGAGAGAACCTAGCAGCAGGGGCCCCCCTCAAACCCTAAACCCTAAACCCTAAACCCTAAACCCTAAACCCTAAACCCTAAACCCTAAACCCTAAAAAACCCTAAACCCTAAAACCTAAACCCTAAACCCTATACCTAAAACCCTAAACCCTAAACCCTAAACCCTAAAAGATCGGAAGAGCACACGTCTGAACTCCAGTCACCGATGTATCTCGTATGCCGTCTTCTGCTTGAAAAAAGTAATAAACAGGAATTTAAAAAAATCGCAAAATAAATAGTCATACATTCCAAAACAATATATTATACACCCTAAACCCTAAACCCTAAACCCTAAAACCCTAAACCCTAAACCCTAAACCCTAAACCCTATACCTGGTGAGGGGCATTTCTCTATAGCGAATGCGTGGTACTCGTGGCCAAACCCTGAGGTGTTGATGAGAGCCACAGTAAACTGTCTCCTTGCATTTGTTTGTGTTTCTAGATAGTCTCCTGTTCCTTTATCTGCTGCTGCAACCCTGCTGCTGCTGCTGCTGCTGCTGCTGCTGCTGCTGCTGCTGCTGCTGCTGCTGCTGCTGTCGTGGGGGTGTCTGTACACCACAAACAACATGTGCACCGGAGCCATCTCCTCATCGAGACGAACCCCTCCAGGTATAAACGCCGCAGACCCGGGGGCCAAAGCCTTCAGCCTGAACACAAACCCTAAACCCTAAACCCTAAACCCTAAACCCTAAACCCTAAACCCTAAACCCTAGAGTTGGAAGGTGTATACATTTGCTGGGTTTTACAACTCGAGCTGATGTTTGCATTTAGTGTTTAGGGTTTGTTTATGTATTGCCAGTCTAGGGTTTAGGGTTTAGGGTTTAGGGTTTAGGGTTTAGGGTTTAGGGTTTACTTGGCTGTGATATCTGTTATATAAGCAGCAACCCTGGGGTAGCTAGGTGTCTCCTCCGCCTCCAGCTGCTCCAGCTCCAGCCACAGTCCCCCCTCAGCATCTTCTAGAGAAGCGTAGCAGTTTTCTATGGTTTTTTTAATACGAGGAGACAGCAGGTTGCTGGGTACAGGGGGGAGCCCGGGGGCCCCCCCTATGGGGCCCTTATGGGGGCCCCGGGGGCCCCCCTTCCCCTTCTTATCACTGGGTATTGTTGTATGGGGAGGGGGGGGGCCCCCACTCTCCAGCAACACCTGCAGCAGCCGCTTTATAAAACGTAACGCACGAAGGAGACTGCTCGCTTTTGCTGTGTTGCAGGGTAAGACAGAAGGAGACAGGCCGAGTTGCTGCTGCAGCACAAAGGAGACAGTCTCCGGCCACAGCCACGGGGGGGGCCCCTCAAGGGCCCCCCCCTCATCCAGGGGCCCCTCAGGGGGCCCCCCAGGGGGCCCCCCAGGGGGGACCCCATGGGGGCCCCCATGGGGGCCCCTGGGGGGCCCCCTAGATGAATCATCCTTAGGAACACCGATGGACCCCGGGGAGGGGCCCTCCTGAGGCCCTTGACGGGGGCCCCCAGCAGCAAACACAGCAGCCAGGGGGCCCCCTGAAGATAGAGAAACGGATGGAGACATATTAAAATAACAATACAAACATATAGACAGAGATGGGGGGGTGGGGCCCCCCCTCCTCTAGGCCCTCAAGGAGACGAACTGGGGGCCCCCGCCTGTCTAGGCGTCTGCAGCATTAGCTGCAGCAACAACAGCAGCAACAGCAGCAGCAGCAGCTGCTGCTGCTGCTGCTCAAAGAACTTAGAATAAACCAATTTATTAATTTGAAGGAGAAGATCAGCAGCAGCAACAATAACAGCAGCAGCAGCTGCTGCTGCTGCAGCAGCAACCGGCAGCAGCAGCAGCCGACGCTCCGCCGGGGGGCCCCCCTGAACCCTGTTGTCGAAGCTGGGGGCCCCCAGCTTCTTTACCTCTTATTTATACTGTATATTATATTATAAAAAATAAAATAAATAAAAATAATAAATATTTTAATAGAACTCCCCCCGGCTCTCTAATTTCTGGTGTCTCGCTGCCTCCTTGCCTTGTACTGTTGCTGCTACAGCAGCAGCAGCAGCAGCAGCTGCAGCTGCTGCTGCTGCTGCTGCGCTGCTAGTGCTGGTGCTGCCACTGCTACTGCTGCTGCTGCTGCTGCCGCTGCTGCT